AATTAGGAATTAAAATGCCATAATAAACAGGGGGACGGATGAAACTCAAACAAAGCAGCATCATAATTACTGAGAAGATTGATATGTTGTGCAATTAGGGGTTAGAAATGTAGAAATAGCAAAAATAGACAGAATGTTTGGGTAAAAAATCTAGTGGGATCATAACTAATGTGACAAATAGTTGTTTATGCAATTAGAGATTAAATATGTGGAAATAATAAAATGGCAAAATAGACAGGAAGTTCGGATATGAAAATGTGGTAGTGTAAATGGGGATTGAAAAAACTTAAAATTAACATGAATAAACATGAAGCTTTCACAAGAAAGGCAATGGGATAGTCACTATTAAAAGACCTACCTGTTTATGATGGCCATGGCAGAGACAAGGTTTGGACATATTTCTTTCGGATACATAGTGTGGGTTTCTGTTTTTGGATAGCTAGTGCTTTGGTTATGCCCAGATGTCCTAATTTTACTTCCTATGATAGATTTGGTCGAATCCTGTATATTATTTTGAAGGATTTTTCGAAAGGAGCTAAATATCCTGAATTCACCAGATGTTTTGTCACTGAACTACATACACGTTTTCCTTCTCCTTTTACTAGCCAGGCTGGATAGTGCTCACGAGCACGTTTTTCAAGTTGGCGCATGGTACCGCCGATGTACTTAGCTCCACAAGAGCAAGTAAACTGGATTGATATCAGTTAGGAAACCATTGAAAACCAGTTACAAGGAGTACTGCCAGACAGCTGTTTCATCCTAGTTTGGGAATCATCGGCAGTACGCATCGACCACCACGTTTCGAACTCAGGACCTTCCGGTTACAAGGCTAGCTGGCTCGTATACCATTCAGCCACTGGGACCCGATTAAATGGTTCTCTAACTGATATCAATCCGTGATCAACTCGTAAAAACAAATTTAATACTCACAAACCAAACTATAGAAAACATACATATTAGTAAAGTTTTGAAAAACGTAATAAGGTTAAATGCTTAACTATGGAACTGATAAATAAGTTTGTTAAATGTTAAACCATATCCAACTTCCTTGAAACAAAGACTGCTATTGACAATTATAATAATGTATTGATCTGGGCTAAATTGCAGTAGTCTACCAAAGAAACATCTCAACATCGGAACTGAGGAAATCGTCACTCATGTGTACTAAAAATTTCCAATTCCCTTTTCGAAAGGCGTCTATTGTGTCATGTTGACGACGTGTGGCGATGGAAAGCCCCTTGCGACCACTTTTTGCTGATTTATTCTTGTGAGGCCAAGAGGCCAGTATTTTGCAACATCACATACAACAAACGGAATTATATCTAAGATATGCTGATGATATTTTTATTATCTGTGAAAGCAGATCACAAGCTAAAGACCTATTGACAAAATTCAACTCATGTCATTCGAATCTTAGCTTAGAAAATCAGGAAAATGATACCATGAAATTCCCACATGTTTCTCCAATAGAAAAGACTGATGGCACAATGCAAAGGTTTATATTTAGAAGGTCTTCATGGATTGGACTATCCAAACAGTCCCAAAGAAATCTGTTTATATCAATTTACAATTCAAAAGAGATCATGTACAAGAAGTAGTCAGATGAGGACTTGATAAAGATATCAGGAGAACTCATTTTTCTGCTAAACTGGTCTTCCTAAACACCACCAAGTGAGTGCTTCAACAATCTGGGAATGACCGGTATTCACCAATCCTCGACACTTCAAACTGTGTATATCAATTTGATTGTGTTTGCGGAAGCAGATACATAGGTGGCACAGAAAGGCGATTGTTTAATCGCATGATGCAATATTTGCTAAGGTGCCGAAACCTTCAATGACAAAGCATCTTGTGGATTACATTCATGATATTGACGCTTTCAAGTCATTCACTGTTTTCAGCAGACAAAGAAACGGGAAGATGCTTGCAGCAGAGAAGGAGGCTTATGCATTTGCAGTTTATAAACCAGTTCTCTGTGAATAGAAGGAAATGGTGGTCACTCTGAATCTACCGTGTTTTACTTATGAACTGTTATTATTACCATTATAATTAATATTTTATTCGACCTCTTATTACTGAACCATCTTTTATCAGCACCATTATCTTAACTCATTTTAACATTATTATTATTATTATTACTATTACAATCATTACCATCACTATTATTATCATCAGTATTATTCAGTGTGCGATTCTTGATATATTCCAGTTCTTTCACTCACTGATAACTAATTGTTTATTTGAGTAATGTGATTGAACCGTAATGCATTTTATCTTAGTCTTATACTCCCATATTTAGAGTGTTCAGCTGGAGATTTCTGTCAAAATTTGATGGATTCACCAAATCCATCTTAAATAACTTTTTATGTTCAGCTAGTCTGACTGTCCCTGTTCTACTAGTTTGACCTATGCATTTGACCTGACAATCATTGCAGGATATTAGACAAACTAAATTGCTTTGTTTTAAAGGCTCTACAGGATCCTTTAACCGTCATTAATATTATTATTATCACTATCGTTACTATCATTATTTATTTTATCTTTACATTTCCTTACATATTTCCTGACTAATTTATCAGGGTAATTATTAAGTTTCAAGGCTTCTTTTATGTTTATCAGTTCCTGTTTTAGATTTTCTTTAGTACTACTTAGTTTTTGTGCTCTGTCACTTAGACATTTCACCAATCCTATTTTTACTGACATAGGATGGGATAATCAGCAGTCTAAATATCTGTTTGAGTGTATAGGTTTCCTGTAAACACTTGTGTTTAACTTCCCATCTTCTTTCCTCTTTACGTTGCGATCTAACATTGGGAGCTCCCCTTCCTAATTTCCCAATTCATAAGTGAATTGAATTGCCTCAACCTTCGAGTTTATGTGTTCGAAAAACCTATCTATATCTTGTGTTTTAAGTACAGTGAATGTGTCATCTGCGTACCTCCGCCATACTTTTGGGGTGGGGGTGAACGTTTCAATCGCTATGCTTTCCCACTTATTCATGAATATATCTGCTACCACTGGGGATATTGGTGATCCCATGGCAACTCCTTCAGATTGTTTGTAAATTTTCCCTTGGAATTTCAATACTGTGGAAGTCAGGCATAGCTGCACTCCCAGCATAATGTCCTCAAGTGGCACTTTTGTCCTAAGTTTGTGTTCTTGGTCAGAAATGAGTTCGTTTTTGACTACCTCCATAGCCACATTTATTGGTGTACGTGTGTACAAAGTCGTGTGATTACAATTGATATGATTATGAACAGTAATAAATTTTGTTCGAAACGTCATCCAGTGAATAATACTGTTTCACTGTGTGATATATCTAATAAACAAACTAGTATGGAATTAGTTAGTCTGTTTTAAAAAGGTAATTAATTCGCTATTATCACTCTCACGTGTTCCTTTTGTATGTTTCATTATACTTCTCACATTGGTTAAATGGGCACTCAACTACCTTTATTCTCACTCAATAGCAATTTTAACCTTATGAAATTTCTAACCGTTTCTTCTTTCTTGCCGACGAATATTATGAGACATATCGATTTTTCTTTAGAAGTTACTTCTGAGTAATGATGCCAGTTATGTCATCCCTCTTTCACTCAACGATGGACTACTATGCCTTCTTGGTAAATATTATTACGACTGTCCAGCCTCTGAAGATGATTTCATCAATAAAGCAAAATGTTTTGTTCTCTCAATTGTCTTTTATTTTCTTCATGACCCAACAGTGGATATCTTTGGTGTTCTTAATAAATAATGTAGTAATCATGAAAGCTTTAACTGATCATCTTACAATTTCTTACGTGCATCGTTATTATCTGAAAAATTGATATTATACTCTTACTTCATTTAGCCCACATCATATGAAAATGTTTGAAATTGTCAGGAAATCATATTGTATTTAAAAGTATTAAGTTTTTAGACAGACTTTCTCAGGATCTGAAATCTTCTAGTCAGGCATAAAACCTACGAACTACTGAACACTTGTTTTCTTCATGTTCGGGACGCTATAAAATAGGTGATCTTGAAAAGCAAGCTGTTGCTCAGTCACCGAATCGGAATCCAAAGTCCTATGGTTTAGGAATTTTTTAGTGCTTCATTATCTCAAGTTCATTGATGTAAGTCTATTTCTTTATCTAGACTAGTGGTCTTTAGCGACTGCTAATTATTAGTAGAACTTCAATGATTCGTCAGAAAGTGAAGCCATAGAGAAACAAATGAAAAGGACAACTTCGATCAAGCTCTTATGTCAGTATGTGCATAAAACATGACTTTACGGAGAACAAAGAATCTTGTCTGTACCAACATGCATCTTGAAAGAAGCGCCTTCAGTGATGGCATGGAAACACCGACCTCGACATCTTTACTTAACAGTTCATTACATATGCAATCCACTGTTCCCATCAAAGACACATTGGTGAATAAAAAAGGGACACCATTAGCTTATCGTTCACCTTTAAGTCTTTAAGTGTCTACATAAACTCAAAACTGTCTTTTACACTGTGTTCTACGAGTTTCTTGTGTAATGGTTATAAGAAATATTCTAGCGGCTATTGTGCAGTTAGCTGCCTGGTATGGTGAACAAGACTCAGTAATGACTGGTATAACTGGCAAGCCGCTGTTATTAATCTTCGGCAAACCACATAACCCGGGCATCACTGTACTGATATATGCTTTGGTATTTCTTATACTAATTTTCTTGAAGTTCTCTTACCACGTAATTTGTCACCCACAAGCCTCAGTGTATACTAATGCAGAATTGACCTCTCGGATGAGATGCGAAAAACTCCAGTTTCTCTCTAAAATAAAGCCGTTCACCCTTTGTATTTTGTGCTAATGATTTTGTATTAGAGATATTTGAAAGATAAGTGCTTTGAAAAGATATGAGGAGAAAGTGGGAACAACCATCTTATCTTAATTAGTACATTTATTTTCATGAAACTGTTTTATTAGAGAACAAAAAGAATTACAACACAAGTATATGAACAACAAAAAGTGTAAAATGGTATTCACAATTTCAGGCCATCAAGTTAATTCTTCTTGCTTGGCTTTTCAGGCTTTTTATTATCCTTAGCTGACTCCCGTTTCAGTAATTCCTCTTTACATGAGCTGAAGTAGAGGGAAAATGTGAAGAAAGGGTATTATTAACTATAACCATAATAATAATAATAATAATGATAATAATGACCTTAATTGCGGATAAATTGGTTAAACCATATACAGAATTCTTAGCGCAATTTTTGCTAATTTTGCGTTCCGAGTGGGACATATGGCTACAAGATTTAAGCTTCATAGTTTCATTAGTTGTGGTGTTTATGTTTCAAGGATTGCGGTTGTTAGCTTCACGTCCATCATTCCGTCTTCAAAGGGATTACAACCTACTAAGCAAGGTTTATGTGTTTGTCGGTGGGGAATCGAACCGTCGGACCACGAGAATCGTGCATATAGGTTATTCTGTCACTGAATCACTGATGTATTCAGTACAACTTACTACACAACTTTTTCTTTGCATCCAGGATCTTTAAGTTTATCAGAGTGACTCAGTACTGTTATCATTTCGTCTCCTTCGAGAAATGCCCACTACCGAAGATGTTGTAACGAAAATATTGGCCATAACGGCTTAATAACAGAAGTATCCACTGGGTGAAAAGGCAGTATTTAAAGTTAACGTAAGGAAGAGATTGGTGATGAAAATTACAAACGACCACGAACAACAACAACAAGCATCAGTGGGTACCAGCGGAACAGATTTGAAAGAGATCAGTACTTTCAGTTTTCTAAGGAGCATAGCTTCAATAAAAGCACTCGCCATACATAGTGATGTCAAAACCAGAATTGGAAAGACAAGGAAGACGGCAAGTCATGAACAGTATTTCTAACAGACTGCTGCGAAATTTTATCAACAACTGCCGCCTTCGCTGGCTGCATGCTGAGAATCAGATGGGCAGTCAGGAAGAACAAGCAGCAAGAAGCCATGGGAACATATTGATCCGGATCCTATTGACTGACAAATATTCCAAATTAAGTCGAGTCAGTAAATGGCACACTTTGGAGAGACTCTCCGGTGACACTTCCTCCAAGGTGATCATTTGATGGGAACCCGAATAAGCGACGACTATCTGTGTGTGATATGTAAGAGATCTTATGAGAAAGACACGGAAGTTCATGAGCGATCATCGGTCCAACAAAGAAATAGTTTTTCATGGGGACAGAATGCGAGAAAGAGATGTTCTCTTGAAGCTCTGTGTCACACTCGGAACCAAAAGAAATTCTAAGAATAATAATAATACTAGTAATTTTATAACTGAATAACTTACACAATCATAGTTCTGATTCCCTTTTTCTCTTTCTTTTCTTTCTCATTTGCTCTACTGAAATCTATTTTTGTTGTACAAATTGCATCTTTTATCTTCAGTGTTAAATTTGTATTCAGGCTATAATTCATTTCAGAGACCAGCAACCACATATGACCTAAAGGATTTCAGAAATAGTGGATGCATTATAGAGGTGTGTGAGTATATAACTATGTACGCAATTAGTGATAAACATATATTAAACAACTTCGCTATCTATCTGAGAATGCGCAAGAGACTATTGTAACAAAAAGAGAAATATCTAGGTTTCCGTTGTGTTGGTTTGTAGGGACTTGATCGGTGCCAAGTTTGATTTCACTACGAACCGGTATCCAACTAGAGAACCGTTGAAAATTAGTGAGAGTACTAAACAGCTGTTTTGCTCTAGTTTGGGGCTGTTTGGCGGTATGCAGCATTAGCAGTGACCTTACCTACCTTAAAAATAGTCGGATTCCTGCAAACCAAACTTAATCGACTGCTCGTCAGTGAGATGAAGTAGCCTCCGGCTCTATTGAGATATCGTGGCCGGTGATGTCGATCAAACCGAATGTGAGTACAGATATTCTCAGCTGACACTGGAAAGGTGTGGCACTGTATACTGCGAATTCATGAGTCATCGGACTCTATCCTGTTGAATGAGTGTTCAGTAGGCTCGCTACGTCATATAAAGACCGTGGTTTCAATCCCTGGTGGGGTCGTCGGTGCATACTCCTGGACAGTATCAAACTAAAATTAAAAACAACTATGCGGTATTCCCTGGTTTTCAATGGTTCGCTGACTAATGTCAATTCGTGAGGGAGTTTAACTTTAAATACCAACATTTTTACTGATGGCAGAGTAGTCTAACTAGTCAGAGGTAAGTACTGTATCATCTGAGGAAACCAATGTCTAATATTATCAAGAGAATAAGCAAAATAAGCATCTATTACTAACTGGAAAATACACATTTGAAGTTCTAAAGGTTATGTGTCAAAATTGCAGTTGTTCAAGGTGTGTCAATAACAGGTGGCTACAGCCACCTATTTCTGTCGTGTAACAGTAACAGTGATTTGCTGTGAATAGAGAGGGTGTTGGAAGTCAGAAAATATGGATTTAGAACATTTCTCAGATGAGTCTAAGTGTGTATCGATGGTAACAGTAACGAGCTGACTGACTCTGTGGCACACCACTCACCCTACTGACAACCTTTAATAGTCTTCTCAGTCCGTTCTGCTTAGCCAAGGATAGCCAGATTTTGGGGGGAGTGGAATAGAGAAAAATAGGCAACATGCGACAATTAACATACTGTAAAAGTAGAGTTTGAGTGATACCTAACTAATCGGCTTAACTTCCTAATGTCGAAGGTTAGACGGGATACAAGATGTGGAATGATCGACCAGAAAAAATCAGAGGATAGAACTATTCCAAAGTATTTAATGTTTGCCTGTTATACTACAAGTATTTAATGAACAAACCATCCGAAGTAGAGTTTTTTTAATTCATTATAGCTTGATTCTATACAGTATTTTGGCACAGCTGTGGAATTTTCAGCATGTGATATCGGTAGCCTAACCAGACCGTCGATATCAGGTGTGTGTCAGCCCGGGGGTTGAACCCTGGGCCATGTGCGTAGTCGGCAAGCGTCCCAACCGCTGTGCCATCGACACAGATCATGTTTATGCCTGAAGGTTAAGTTAACTATCTGAAGTAAGACAATTTAACTAGGACCACTAGTCTACGTTCATGATAGGGACTACAATTCTGGATACTCACTCAGTAGCACCATCACTCTGAAACAAAACATCATTCATCTGTTAATTATCTATCTGTGAGTACCGGTCGAAAAGGATAACAATGTTTAGCAACTACAGTAGCTTAAAATATGGACAATATGAGATACACCAAAAAAACACGATGATCACTCTTCATCACAACATCAGGTTATCCCTTAGAACTCACCTTTTTCATTTATGATGAACGGAATTTTAGTGGTGGTCAACTTGGCAGATATTACCAGAGCAGTGGCTGCTAAGCATACCAAAGTAAAACGAATCATTCTATTTTTTTGTTTTTAACTAAGAGGAACATAAGAAAACGCAACAACAACAAGAAGAAGATAATTAGAGCACCAAAATAAAAAAAACAAACGATTTATTCAAAATTTCACAGCTTGTTTATGTAACTTACATTTCTTGAGGAGTGTTATTAAATAACCTACTTATTACCTCCTGTATTTATAGTTGGAAGTTGTTGTTTTCTGACAAACATAATATCACTACAAGGTTAAGACGTCAATAACGTTTGACAGACGTACTAAATCGAAAGGAATATGACAAACTGAGTTATAGTGGAAATAGAAATCGTTTTATGCATTAAATGTCATTTGAAAAGACAGTGAAATTAATACGTATATGTAATGATTAGGAATGACAGAGAAAGACCTAGCTGGATAGCTAACGACTGACTACCTGGTTTCAACATAGACAGGTGCGCAGAAGTCCACCAGATCCAGTTGTCACATCCTATGTAGTACACAAAGGAAGACAAGTAAGTGTGAAGAAAGAGATACGAAAGAACGACAGTCAGCAGGAATTGAAAGAAGAAAGAATAGGGTTTTCGACAATGAGTTCGAGCCATATCACCAGTTTTCTCCAATCATTGGTACTTACCATCCCAAGGACCCTAACTAGCCAGGCAGTCTACACCTACCTACGTGGCTAGTCCAAACTGAATGTTAAGGGTAACATAGACTGATAACATGTTTTCGTTTGACTACCACTAACACTTCTTCAACCTAACACATGTTCCAACCATGCTAATCGGTGTACTTCACATTTCATCTATTTATTTCCACTCCTTACCTAGCACTGGATGTCTAACCTCAGTATTATTCGTCCACTTATACTGCCTAACATGGGGGACTAAACGGAGACACCTGTGGTCAGAGGCAGCTAGTCAGTCTTTTCAAGTCTCCCACTATCATTGATTATGTCTCGGTCACAGCTATAAAGGAGGACTTCGTGTACTTTTGATAGTGTATGGGCTGTTGTTTCTACCCGAATGCTCGTACGGTGGAATTTGAATTTTTATTGGGGTTTCTGAAACAGAAACAGAATTAGTATTTTGTGTCCGCAGAGCCAAGTGTGGACAACTGCTTGAGGCCAGTCACACACGGCCTGCTTCAACTGCCTTTTAGAGGTTTTTCCGTATTTTTAACTTACTTCTGGCTGTAGATCACCGTAGAAAAAGTCGAGAAGTACAATCTTTTCTAACCACCCACCTCTTCAGAGTGGAGAGGCAGCATAGCTAGGATGTTGGTCATCTGAGGGATACACCTTACTGCTGTTATGTCTCTGTTCCCCGGCAGTATGACTTTGTTACCCAGAGACCTCCAGCATAGTGTAAAATAAATCTTACACTATATCTGTAACTTCTTTTAGTCTAAGTGCCATCCTAATAACCTTTCTGGCATGGTGGGACGTTCCAGAACATTACTTCCAGTCAGCGTAGCTTGTTGACTCATTACGGTATGCAAGCCCGACCACCACATCAACGTATCATCTGCTGCTCAGGTAGACAGCGAAAGGGATCATAACAGTAACAAATCAATAATTCACATAACATCTGAGAACTATGTTATGATATTATTATTGCTCTCTTTCGTTCCTAGTGGAACATAGGGCTCCAACAGCACATCTCCGCTTTCTTCTATTTTCGGCCATCATCTTCAGCTGGTTAGCCCCACGATTGCCCATATTCTCTCATCTCCTACGCACATGATCTCCTCCATGTCACACTCACACCGATGATCAACTCTTCCCTTCCTACTGGGATTCCATTCGAGCGATGGCCTGCCTTACGCGCGACGTCATTCGACTGTTTCCTCAATGTGTGCCTGATCATTCCATCTCCATTTTCTCCTACACAAATGTTGAACTCTCGCCTGTTGGTTTGTTTCCACAATTTCTTGTTACTTATTCTTTCTGGTCCATCATTTGATCTTCAGTATGGAGCTCGCCGGTGAAGGTGGCAGCTGTTGACGTAAGTCTGCAACAGGCTGTTGGAAATTCTTTTCGTTGCACGCCAAGCTTCTGATCCGTATGGAAAGGGACAACTTGACAATGGTGTTGAAAATACGAATCTTGTTCCGTATGCTGGAAACTACCAGTGTGTATTATAGTTGGGCCTCTCATGGCTAAGCTGATACACCACCGAGCTAGTAATTCAAAGTCCTTTAGTCCGAATCCAATCGGGATGTTTATCTTTATGCCACAAATAACTGGAGGCTATCAGAAAGTCATTCCAACTCAAATGAAGTCATGTGGAAATCAGATGAGAATATAATTTATTCACTGCAAAAATTATAAGACAGATTACGGGAATCTGTAAACAGGCAAAATCATGTAGCTCTATCATACAGCAGAGAGCTATATACTCGAAGAAACTACTTGGTATATCGTCGAGCTGTAAATATTTCGTCAAACTATGTCACGCAGTCAGTTATCGTTAGCGTTTTTAGTCTACTGAATGAATCAAACATTTGTCCTTCAATATTCTGTTCAAAGAATTCTGTTGGCTTAAGATAAAATGAACACCACTGTCTTCCGAGACGTTTGTAAAAGGTACCTTACTCCTTTCTAGTATAAATAATATCAGCATCGATGGGTTAAACTGGAAGAGATCACTGCCTTGATTTATCTTGGAAGCATCTTTTCAAATACAGACCGTGACACAAATGAGGATGTCAAAATCCATCATCAGAAGAACAAGACATACCTTCATCACAATGAAATCAATTCAGAAAATCTTCTGAACTTTGCCTCAGTATTAACAAGGACATTTGTATTTTCAACACAATTGAGGAGTTTTGTCTACAACTGCCTACTTCACTAGCTCCATACTTAAGATCAAATGGCCTGCCAGAATGAATTCGAAACTACAAACTCTGGGATAAAAACCAGTTAGAAACATATTGCTCAACAAATATCTGAAGAAAATGGAGGAGACCGTCGAAGGAAATTGTGCTCCAGGCGATCGCTTGAGTGGAACCCGAATATGAAGGGATGAGTTGTGAGGGGGTGCGAGGGTGAATTAAAGGAGATAGTGTGTGAAGGAGGTGATTAGAGACTACGGTCAAATGTGTGTCCAGTTGAAGAGGACTCCAGACAACACATCAAAGTGGAGATGTTCAAGTGTTGGTTTGTTGGGATTTGTTTGATTGGTTACAGGAACTCATCGTGAGCTGACATTGGTTAGAGAGCCGTTGGAAAACCTGGGAGTACTTGACAGCCGTTTTGTTGGGCTAGTTTGAGACTCTTCAGCACTACACACCCACCTCCAGGGTTTGAACCCAGGACATTCTGGTTACAATGCGAGCTTCTAGACCATTAAGCCACTGAAATACAATCCAATTGTCAATGAATTCTAACTCATGCCGATTCACGACATAGCGCAACCGCTAGCCAATGTCTTTGGCGAGTAATTGTCCTGATAACCAACCTGCTGCACTCTACTGGTCACGACTTCCCACTAGAACCTCAAGTGACCTCCCTGAATAGGGTAAGTCACCAATGAGCATCTCACCGATATTCAAGTGTCGCTTTGTGGAGATTTCATTGGCTGTTTACAGGATGAGCCATTGGATGGTCTACAAGCTCGCCTTACAACCAGTAGGTCCTGGGTTCGAATCCCGGTGGGTGCGTACTGATGAAGAGCCCCAAACTAGGACGAGACAGCTGTCCAGTGTTCCCAGGTTTTCCAGTGGTTCTGTAACCAATGTCAGCTCATGATTAATTCCTTTAACCAAAATGGAGATGTGCTGTTGAAGGCATATATATGGCTCTGAACCCAAGGGAATTATAATAATAATATTCATTTGCATTATTTTTATACGGTCTTATAATATTTTTTACTATTACTTATATTGAAATTAGAGGTTTCAATTACTCTAAGGTTTGTAAAATACTTATTACCGTCAAAGACGTATCTAGTTAACTAAAAATCCTTGTTGTTATTAGATATTGAAGGAAATAGGTTGGAAAACGCTAGATTTATTTTGTCGGGTTTGTCTACACTTGTCAGCATGGAGTATATGCGATTTCAAAGGAATTCATGATTCAAAGGAGATTAGTACCCATCCCATGTCAACTGATTCTGAGGTTAAGGAAAGTATTACTGAGATATTCAGAATTCCTTTAGGACTTAAGTAGATGCATTGATTAGTCATTTGTGAGTAATCAGTGTCATGTATTTATTTTTATTTTTTTTATTTTGATTTACAGCTTGGTGAGACACAGTGATTTCCAGCAATAAAGTTTGCAAACCAGCATATTCACCATCTCTGTACACCTTGATACAATAGTTCATGGTTGGTGACCACAATGGAGAATTAGCTGTTGGAAGTCAGTCAGTACTCCTCTGTACTACATGCATAACTCTAGTTCCTCGGCAGTTACCAGTTGGTGTAAATCTCACCTGCTTTAAGATCAGTACAATTTATATTCCACGCAACGTTCAAAAACAGTGCACACCATCATATATCTTCGATCAAATTTGAGATTCACAAATTAATGCACGATTTTCAGTTTGCAAAGTTCCATGAGCGTCTGCGGAACAGCGGTTAGGACACTCGCCAACCATGCACATGGTCCGGAGTTCGATCCCCGGTCGACGCACTCCTTTACTTCGCTAAGTCTGTAATAGGGACTGGCAAAGAGGGAAGGTTGGGGATGTGGCTGGTGACCCCATCCTGTAAAAATAAACACTGCTACAAAAACTTCAAAACCTCGCCTAGATCACTAGGTCACTAGTATTCTAGCCGGTCCCAAGCCCGGATAAAGAGGGAGGGTTGGGGCGTGGTGCTAGCAACTCCACCCCCAAAACTTACCAAATTGCTACTAAAACTTCAACGCACAAATATATTCAAAATTCTAAAATTACAAATAGTGACCTTATTTTTCGCTGGAATCGGGGAAGTGAAATGACGCAGGCTGGTGAAAGCTTTCGGGAAGCCAGTCAGCCGGTGTGCCTTCTTTCGATGAAAGCAAAAATAAGGATGGGGACTTGGAATATTAGTACAATGTACGAAAATGGAAAGGCTGCCCAGGTAGCCGCAGAAATGAGGAGATATAAAGTAGAAGTGTTGGGAATCTGCGAGAGCAGATGGAACGGATGTGGAAGGTGCCAACTACCAA